ATCTGGTGGCAAAAGGATCATAGAGTAGACGAAAAACAGAGTACCAAACAACATAGATGGCACGAGTGTGCAAGGACGGACATGCGTGACACCGGCTACCGTTTCAACGTAAAAACTGGTTTTTGCCGCACAATTTCTTGTCATTGATTCATGTATACACTATATGTTAAGGAGACTGGATTGTTTTGGTGCCAAACGGTTCATATAGTAGGACGATACGGTGTTAGAAACAAGATGGCAAGCAAAACTGTGTAATGACAAGTCTACGCTACTCTAGCTACCGTTATGAGGCAAACGCGCCTTTCGTCGCACTGTTTCTTGTTATGATTGAAGTATACGTCACATTAAGAGGAGAACATGGCCAATTTGGTGGCAAAAGGATCACGGAGTAGGACGAAACAGAGATGGCACGAGTGTGCAGGACAGACATGTGCGACACCCTGTACCGTTTTCAACGTCAAGCTGGTTTTCGCTGCCCAGTTTCATGTCATGATTCATGGATATGCGATATGTTAATGAGACTGAATAGTTTGGGTGCCAAACGGTTCACGCAGAGTAGGACGATACGGTGTTAGAAACAAGTTGGCAAGCACAACTGTGCCTACTCTACCTCGATCTACCGTTTCGACGTCAACGCAAATTTCGCCTCACTTTTCTTGTTATGATTCAAGTATAGATCATATTTAGAGAAGGACATGACCAAGTTGGTGGCAAAAATAATCACGGATTAGGAAGATACAGAGTACCAAATAACAGAGATGGCACGAATGTGCAAGGACAGTGATACGTGACACCGGCTACCGTTTCAACGTCTAACTGTTTTTTTGCCACACAGTTTATTGCCACCCATCCAAAACTGCTTCAGCAAGTGTAACTGTGAGGGCCTGGCCTGAGCGACACATGCTGCCGGTTAGACTCTTGTAATTCTCATGATGACTTCAACAATTTACTACATTTTAAGGATGGAAGGACACTAAAAGTGCCCTAAACCTTCGATGTCTCATTGGTTATATCCTTCTCCCTCCCCTCCTACTCGCTGCATGATCGGCTATTTGCTGCTTGCTCCACTGATAGTCCAATAACGCGTCGTGCCGCTGCTACAATCTGCCAGGTAAGGGCGGATCCAGTGCCAAGCTCGCCTTTGTCCGCGTGCTTCCCGGATCTATCCTCTCCCAGCCCCGAACCTCCCCCCCCCAACCCAAATACCTCGCTTGTTCTTCTCTCTGTTTGCTATGTGCTCTCACGCACTCTCACCCGCGGACCCTCTGCATCAGAAAATTCTTTAGATTAGTGCTTGTCCCTCCATTCCCCAGTGAAACGCACTGGCACCTCTACTTGTGGTGGCGCCTGCCATGCCCCATCTCCCTGAGTCCCAGGTTCTCGTTTGCTCCTCGCTCCGCGCGGCTAACTTCTCCTCTTTGCTCCATCATTCCCCTGCTGCCTGTGCTTGTCCCACACAGCACCCTGTCTATCCCTTCTCTAGCAGCTCTGGCTTCGCTAGATCCTTCTCTGTCTACCGTGGCCTCCTGGCCCCTCGGACTCGGACTCATTCTCTTCTCCTCCTCGTGAGCCTCTCTTCGCCCGCCTGCTTCCCCCCATCGCCTATCTCTCCTCTCAAGCGAATATTCCTGGAATCGCCCTTCTCGCGTCCTCCTTTCCCGCTGCTGCTGGTCCTCTCTCTCACGAAACTCTCTCCGTTCTTCTTGCCTGCTCCTAAGCCTTCTCTCCTTCCAAGGATATATTCTTCCCAGCTTTCCTCCTTTGTCTTGATCCATGGCGTGCCCGCCTGTCACTCTCTTCCTCTTCCCCGCTCTTTGTTTCATACTTGTGCATCCCCTCCCGTCGTATATGTGCTGCTTGTCACCTCTCTTCCTCTGTCCGCTCAGGTCCTGCTTCTCCCCTCACCCCCCGCTCCAGGTTCCATTCGCCCTTCTCGCCTTCCCCTGTACCCCTCTCTTTCTTCAAGGCATGACTTCTTCCTCCCCGCCACTCCGGCTTCCCGCGTCGGCGCCGTTCCAGATCATACCTATAGTCCTCTTCTTCACTGTACTCATGTTCCTTCTCTTCACGCAGCTCCTCATCACTCCTTCTCATCTTCTCCCTCCACTCCTTCCTCTCAAGGGACGGTCCTTCACAACGTCTCCCTCGTCCGACCTGCTCCTCGACGCTCATGATCCTCTCTTTCCTCTTCCTTGTCACTTCCCGGGTCCTTCCCTGGGGACACCTCTCGCAGCAGCGCTCTTCCTCACCCCTTCTCCTGTTTATCTCTCTCTCCTACCTCCCCCTTGCCTCTCCGACAGGATCCTGCACCAACCCCGCTCCAGCGCATGGGTACTCTTCTACTCCTTTCCGGCGTGTTCTCGCATCTGCACCCGTGATGTACTTCGACGAACACACACTGACGTTAACACGTGCTTCTCCTCTCCTCCTGTCCGCTGCCGTGCACGCGAGCGCCGCTGCGCGCCCTCCTCTCGTGGGCATGCTCACTTCCTTCTCCCCCTTGCTCTGGTGATCGCCATCCGCCCAATGCCATGCGCCTCCTGCGCTCATGTCCGCGTCTTGGCTCAGGCGAGCTATACACTCCCGCCTGCACGTCTCGCCTCCTTTCTTCCTCACGGCTGGCTCATGACGCGCGCTCAGTCTCCTTGCCTTCACCGCGCCTCGCGTTACTTCCGCGCAGCCTGCCTGGCGAGCGATCCGCATCCGCGCTCCCGCGGCGCCTTGCGCCATTCTCAGGCATTTTGCCCGCCGAACTGTCTGCATCCGCGCTCCCGCAGCGTCTCGTGTCATTCCCGCACATTCCGTCAATCGAATCGGCTGCATCCGCACCCCCGCGGCGCCTCGCACCCCCCGCGCATTTTGTCAGCAGAACGATCTGCATTCATGCTCCCGCGGCGCCTCGCACTTCCCTCGCGCATCTCTTCTCGCGCGCGATCTGCTGCCATGTCCTCGTGGCGCCGCGCGCCACCCCGCGCATCTCGTTCGCCGAACGATCTTCTTCCATTACACATCCGCGTTCTTCGCATCCATCTCTGCCATCGCTTTGCAGATCGTCCTCTTTCGCATCCGCCCGTTCTTCTCCGCGGCGCCTCGCGCCATTCCCACCCATTTCGTTTTCGTCCGTCGCACCAGCTGCATCCCCGCTGCCATGAAGCCTCTCGCCACTCCCATCTGTTTCGTCCGTCGCACTAGCTGCATCCGCGCTCGTCGCGGCGCCTCGCGCTTCCCTTGCGCCTGTCGTCCGGCGAGCAATCCACCGCCGTGTTCCCTCGACACCTCACTCTGCCTTCTTCACACGTCCCCTCTAATGCAGGATCTGTTTCCGCGTCGCTATTACGCTCTTCTGCACCTTGATTCTGCAGATCTGCCTCCTCCCTGCCTAGGCGTTGTTCCCCGCCGCCCTGCGCAGTGGTGACACCTTCGCAATCTCCCACGTCGTCAGCCTTCCTTGCTGATTCCGGCAAGTCCGTTATATCCGCGTCGTCATGACGCCCTTCTCCCGCCCCTTGCTGGCCAACGGCCAGATTCCAAGGATCACTTCCGGACGGACGAGGCCTGGGCTCCGCCTTCGCATGCGGATCGCCCTGGCTTCCTCCTCGTCGCCCTCGTATAGGTGAGCCCCCATCCGCGCGGTACGCCGTCCTCCGTGGCGAACGCGTCCGCGATCTCCCGCGCTCCAATGAGCGCATCCTCCACGACGGTGAAAAATCCCGACGCGAGTCCATCTGCTGCCAACGCAGCTCATGGCAGTCCATACCGCCAATACCGCCAACGCAGTCCTGACTCCCACACGATGGCTACCCCGAGTGGCCTTGTAACCTAGCAGCAGTAGCTTAGAACGGTAACTTGCATCCACTATAACAGGTAGACAAACGAGAGAACAGGGATGCGATTGCTACCCTAGGCTACTTTATTCACCCTCACCCATATTGCCAATTTCTTGGCGAGGTGAATTGGGCTCGAGTCGCCTGGGCCTTGGATTGGCCGATCCTGATTTCCTATCTCTCGAGGCTTTCTGAATCCAACCCCTTTGTACCCAGCAGTGCCCTATTCTACCAACTTCGCATCACCCTCCAGAATCCAACCATCCCTCGCTGAAACTGAATACTACAAGCTACACCCCTCTACACCTCACAAGCATGTAACAGAACATAATGCTTTTACCTTTATGTTCTGTGATAGCCGCATTGGCATGGTCATGGACGTCGCTTGTATGTCCATGATCCATGCGGCTGCTCCCCATTTTCTGTGGCCGTTTGCAGTTCAGTACGCAGCGCATCAACTCAACCTTCAGCCCCGGGTCTCCTTGCCAGAGACCACCCCCACCTTGCGGTGGACGGGGAAGGTTGGCAATGCGTATGCGTTTTGGGTCTGGGGATCTCGGGCGTTTGTCCGCGACTTGTCTTCGAACAAGATGTCCCCGTGTGCTGTTCCCTGCATCTTCCTTGGCTCCCCCCCTTACGCGCCTGGTTGGCGGTACTACCAACCCACCTCGCGCCGTGTTCTGTCCACCCAGGACATCACCTTTGACGAGTCGATGACTTACTACCGTCTCTTCCCCTACCGCACTGCGCCCCTCCCCCCGCCGCCGCTCTTACTTGCGCCAGGTCCTCCCCCGGTAGACCCCCTCCCCCCTCAGGGTCCTGCCCCGTCAGATGTGTCCCAGGCAGACGCAGTTAAGCCTGTCGAGGTAGCTGTTGACTCTGGTTCTGCTAGGGTCGTTGCGCCTGCGGGTGCCGGGTCTAGGGGTGCGGAGCCTGGGGGTGCTGAGTCTCGGGGTGCTGAGCCTGGGGGTGCTGAGTCTGGGGGTACTGAGCCTGGGGGTGCGGAGCCTGGGGGTGCTGAGCCTGGGGGTGCGGAGCCTGGGGGTGCTGAGCATGGGGGTGCGGAGCCTGGGGGAGCTGGGTCTACTTGTGTGGCCTCTGGCGGTGTTTCGTCGAGGCTAGAGCCCCTCTCTCCGCAGGAGCTACGCGAGTGGTTTGCCCGGCGCTGGAGCCATGCTGCTGGAGCTGGAGGTACTACTGTTGCTACTGGCCCTGGAGGTGCTCGTCCTGGCGGCTCTGGAGCTGCTGGGACTGGGAGTCCTGCTAGGGGTGCTACTCGAGCTGGAGCTACTAGAGCTAGAGCTGCTGGGGGTGTTGGCGCTGGTGGTTCTGCTGGCCCTGGTGCTTCTGAGGGTACTGGTGTTGGCGCTGTTGGAGCTGGAGGTGCTAATGGAGCTAGTGCTGCCGCTGGGGGTGCTGGTGCTGTCCCTGCTGCTTTTGGAGGCGTTGCGCGGCCGCGGCCGTACTTCGTTCCGCTCCTTGAGCAGGTTCTTGGTCTCCCACCCTCTACTGGTCCTACTCCTCCCTTAGAGTGTCCACAGCCTGTCCAGTCACGGTCACATTTACAGCCCGCCTCCCCCCTGCCTGCTCCTTCTCCCCACACAGGTCCTACTGGAGGTCTTGCTTAGCATCCTGAGCCTGCGTCTCGTCTTGCGTCGCCTGTTCGTGCTGCTCGCACTAGTGGTCGTGCTTCGCGTCCGCGTCCTCATGCGGTCCCCGGCACACAACAGATGGCACTGCGTCCTTCCACTGCTCCTCTGCGTGTCCCGTTGCCGTCTCCTCCAGAGTCCTCTCTTCCTACTCTTGCTGACCCTGAGTCAGACTCTTTTCGTGCTGCCAGTCCTACTGTCACGCGTCTCCTTGCCACTATTGTCACTGCCCTTTCTTTTGAGTCCACTTCTGCGTCTGCCTTAGTTGCTGAGCTTGTCGACTTTGCTGCTCGCTGTCGTCTAGACTACGCTGATTGTCTTGTTGCTGAGTCTGAGTCTGTCTGTCCTCCGTCCGTCGGGGGTGAGTGTGCTCTTAGCACGGACGTCCTTGAGGACAGGCAGGAGGAGTTCCATTATTTTGCTGCTGCTTTGCCTCATCTCGTGTCCACGCTGATTGCCCCTGAGGGAGACCCGGATGCACCAGACATCCCGACTCCTCGATCGTACGCTGAGGCGATCGAGGGTCCCTACTCCTCACAGTGGCAGTCAGCAATGGACGTAGAGATGGCTTCCTGGAAGTCCACAGGCACCTATGTTGACAATGTTCCCCAACCTGTGGCGAACATCGTCAGTGGCATGTGGATTTTCAGGGTGAAGCGGCCGCCGGGTTCTCCGCCTGTCTTCAAGGCGCGTTACGTGGCTCGAGGCTTAAGTCAGCGGCAGGGAGTTGACTACTTTCAGACCTTCTCTCCCACCCCGAAGATGACCACTCTTTGAGTGCTGCTGCACATAGCCGCTCAGCGCGACTACGAGCTTCACTCTCTTGACTTCAGCACTGCTTTCCTGCAGGGCAGCCTGCACGAGGAGATCTGGCTGCGCCGCCCACCTCGCTTCACTGGGTCGTTTCCTCCTGGTACCCAGTGGAGCCTTCGGCGGCCAGTCTACGGTCTCCGCCAGGCGCCCCGTGAGTGGCACGACACACTAACGACTGCATTTGCGGCTCTTGGATTTGCTTCTATTTGCTATACTCTGTTTAGGCTGTAGTGGGGTAGTCAATATGGGATACAACACTTTAGGGTTTCCTACTTATACTCCTCATGCTGCTCAATGCAATCATTTCCTTCCTCAGATTCTCACAAGAAATTGACGCGAATTTCCGAAGCTGTTGCATTTCAGCCCGTACTTGACGATTTTCCAACGTCAACTGTTCGAGTTGGCGTATGAGTTGAGAAAGCGTTCGTGATCTCGTCCATGTTGGTTCGACAACTCCAAGTCTGCAAGTCTACACCGCGGGATGATGACGTCGTAGTCTCTTCGTCGACGGTCGCCTCGTTGGAAGTCGCTCCCCACGAAGGCTCTTGATACCAAGCATTAGGCCCCTTGGCCTAAATCCGCTAAAGATTAGCGGGGTCGACTAAGTCGAGGATGAAAGCGCGGGGGAAGACTTTGGCGAAAGAACTATTGGCGAAATATGTGAAGAAGTTAGTGAGTAATTGAAGAGTTGAATGAGAATTGGTTGATATTGGTGGATACAGCAAGGATGATATAGCATGCAAGGTCGAATGTCGGAAAGTACTTCGTGGGACTAGAAAGTAGAAGCAATTAAAGTAGAGTGCCACGTGGCACAAGGAAATCAAGAAAGATAAGGATAAGGGTGAATTAGAAAGTACTGAGGGAAGAGTAAATCCCCCCTTAAAGAAAGGGTGCACATTCCCGGGGGTGGTTTTTGGGGGCATTGTTAGAGCACACCCTTTAATGGGGTCTGATTGGACAACGAAATTATTAGGGTACCGAAAGCTGGTGCGAGGGATTCAATTTGGCTGGCAAGGCCAACCAATTTCGTACGGAGATCGGGCTGTCAGAATATTATCTTATTGTTCTAGCCTGTAGTGGGGTGCTCTATAGCGAGTACAACCCTTTTAGGGTTTGCTATTTGTATCCTCATTCTTGCTAGTTCAATCCTCTTTCTTTCTTCTAATTTTGTCATGCTATCAGAGCAGGTCGATCCCCTTGGATCGAACCTGTGGGTGGGTTACCACCTCGCTTCCGCTGCTACCTTTCCTTCCCGCCGTGCGCCCCGTGGCGCGCGGCGGTTTTCTTTCCCGCCGTGCGCCCCGAGGCGCGCGGCGGTTTTCTGCCCGCCGTGCGCCCCGTGGCGCGCGGCGGTTCTCTGCCCGCTGTGCGCCCCGAGGCGCGCGGCGGGCGTCCGCCCCGACCGTCGCGGCCCCGCCCTCGTCGCGGCCCCGCCCTACGTCGCGGCCCCGCCCCGACCGTCGCGGCCCCGCCCTACGTCGCGGCCCCGCCCCGACTGTCGCGGCCCCGCCCTCGTCGCGGCCCCGCCCTACGTCGCGGCCCCGCCCCCGACCGTCGCGGCCCCGCCCTCGTCGCGGCCCCGCCCTACCTTCGCGGCCCCGCCCTACCTGTCGCGGTCCCGACCTGTCGCGGCCCCGCCCTGCGTCGCGGCCCCGCCCCGACCGTCGCGGCCCTGCCGCCCCACTTCGCGGCCTCGGCCCCGGCCCCGTGCCCCTACCTGCCACTCTCTCAGGTCCGTGGTGGGCCCTTTTCTCCACACCCCCCCCTCCCCCCCATTTCCCGTCGTCCGTCGAGGCGACCTGAGGGGGCCGCTGTGGGGTGGCGGGTATGGGGGTGATCGGTGTGCCTTCCTCCCTTTGCTCCTCCTCCTCCTTCGTCTCCCACTGCTGCAGCTGTCGCTAAGGGGGGTGGTTGTGTGGGAGACTGGGGTTTAGGGTTTAAGGGGGGTGCGTGGGAGTAGAGCTAGCGGTGTAGCAGTGGGTGTGTATCAGGGGGGTGGGACTGTGTGCGGGAGGATGAGCGGAGGTTGCCAGTTTGTCGTCAGCAGCACCTGTAGTCCGGGGCGCTGTCCCGGTAGCCCAGTGAGCTAGACTTCTACGCCAGCCGCCTGTGGGTCCGTTGCCCGTCCGCCGCTGTTTGAGCCGCGGGGCCTGTTACTCCTGTAGTCCGGGCGCTGTCCGGTAGCCGCTGTGCCAGTCTGCCTCCTGCTGCCCGTGTGTCTGCAGCTTCAGCCGTCGCCTCCTATCTCCTCTCCCCTCACTCTCCCTCCTCCTCCTCACTTGCCCGTTGTGACTACCACTAGCTTTGCTTATAATTGTGAACTCTAAACTATTTCTTCTTGAACTTGTGCTCAGAATGTGTGGTGACATTGTGATCCACCCTGAGCTTGTATTGCTTTGCCTGCTCTGCTGATTACACCCCACTTTGGCTATGGGGGTGTGTCAGAATATTATCTTATTGTTCTAGCCTGTAGTGGGGTGATCTATAGCGAGTACAACCCTTTTAGGGTTTGCTATTTGTATCCTCATTCTTGCTAGTTCAATCCTCTTTCTTTCTTCTAATTTTGTCACGGGCTGGGCAATAACCCCGCAGAACGGCGGAAACCAAGCATCTGGCGCAACCAGGAAAGGAAACCATGTGACAAACAACAACCTGACATGTAATAGGAAACTTGGAAAAAGGGCGCTTTGTCATTTCCTCTACAGAGGAGATGACGGAGCGCCCTGTTTTCTGGTTTCCAATTCCTTTCGGCAGTGGTTTTGACACCACCCCGCTTCGCGCTCGCGTCCGATTCCTTGGGACAGTTTTTTCTGACATTTCCAATTTCCTGTGACCAGGGATTTTATGAAGACTACCTGGTTTCAGTTTAGTAGCCAGTGTAAAAAAAATAAAACCCACTCGGATGGCTGGCCATTGTTAAAATTATAAGAGAGAAGAGGGGTTGCACTAGCAAGAATGGGGATACAAATAGCAAACCCTAGAAGGGTTGTACTCGCTATAGAGCACCCCACTACAGGCTAGAGCATAAGATAACATTCCGACACACCCCCATAGCCAAAGTGGGGTGTAATCAGCAGAGCAAGCAAAGCAGTACAAGCTCAAGGTGGATCACAATGTCACCACACATTCTGAGCACAAGTTCAAGAAGCAATAGTTTAAGGTTCACAATTATGAGCAAAGCTAGTGGTAGTCACAACGGGCAAGTGAGGAGGAGGAGAGAGACTGAGAGGAGAGGAGATAGGAGGCGACGGCTGAAGCTGCAGACACACGAGCAACAGGAGGCAGACTGGCACAGCGGCTACCGGGCGAAGCCCCCGGACTACTGGAGTAACTGGCCCCGTGGCTAAAGTAGCGGCAGACGAGCAACGGACCCACGGGCGGCTGGCACAGCTGGCTACGACTGGGCTACCGGGCGAAGCCCCCGGAATACAGGTTCTGCTGATGACACGACGGCAACCTCCATGCAGCTTCCCTAAATATCCAACTCCCCCTGGCACACACCCGCTGCTACACCGCTAGCTCCACTCCCACGCACCCCCCTTAAACCCTGAACCCCAGTCTCCCACTCATCCACCCCCCTCAGCGACAGCTGCAGCAGTGGGAGACGAAGGAGGAGGAGGAGCTAAGGGAGGAAGGCACAGCTGCCACCCCCATACCCGCCACCCCCTACTCGCCACCCCCTAGGTCGCCTCGACAGGCGACGGGAAAAGGGGGGGAGGGGGGGGGGGGGGGGGGGGGAGGTGCACGTGTCGTAGGTAGGGCGACGGGGTCGGGCGTGTAGGGCGGCGGGACGACGGGGCCGCAGGTAGGGCGGCGGGGCCGGGGCCAGGGCCGCAGGTAGGGTCGCCCGAGCCACGCGCAGGCGGCCCGAGCAGCGCGCGGGCCTGGCGACGCCCGTACGGGTCGCGCGCGGGCCTGGCGCAGCCCGTACGAGTGGTGCGCGGGCCTGGCGCAGCCCGTACGGGCCACTGACGGGTCGGGCGCGGCCCGTACGTGCCGCGCGCAGGCCACGACGGGCGACGGGGGGCGACGAACGGGTCCCCGTCGCCCGTCGCGGCGCCGCCCAAGGGCGACGCGCCGGTCGGCGGGGCAGAAGCCCGCCGCGCGCCTCGGGGCGCACAGCGGGCAGAGAACCGCCGCGCGCCTCGGGGCGCACGTCGGGCAGAAAACCGCTGCGCGCCTCGGGGCGCACGGCGGGAAGAAAAAATGCCGCACGCCACGGGGCGTGCGGCTCAGAGGGTAGTTGCAGTAGTAGCAGCGGAAGCGAGAAGGTGGTAAGCCCACCCACAGGATCGATCCAAGGGGATCGACCTGCTCTGATAGCATGTCAAAGTTTGAAGAAAGAAGAGGATTGCACTAGCAAGAATGGGGATACAAATAGCAAACCCTAGAAGGGTTGTACTCGCTATAGAGCACCCCACTACAGGCTAGAGCATAAGATAACATTCTGACAGCCATTAGGGAGGCATCAACCCTAAACACCTTGCCTCATGGTGTTTAGGGTTGATGCCTCCCGAATGGCATGCCATCCAATAGGGGATTATAGATTTCGTTGTTCCGCGCTGTTAGTGAATAAGCGACGCCTCATTTGGAATATCCCTATAAACAAAATATACTATGATTGGTAGGACTCGGAAAGGGAATTAGCGAAATTATCGGCCCGAAGGTATCGGACGCGAGCGCGAACCGAGGTGGTGTCAAAACCACTGCCGAAAGGAATAGGAAACTTGGAAACAGGGCGCTTTGTCATTTCCTCTACAGAGGAGATGACGGAGCGCCCTGTTTTCTGGTTTCCAATTCCTTTCGGCAGTGGTTTTGACACCACCCCGCTTCGCGCTCGCGTCCGATTCCTCGGGACAGTTTTTTCTGACATTTCCAATTTCCTGTGACCATGGATTTTATGAAGACTACCTGGTTTCAGTTTAGTAGCCAGTGTAAAAAAAATAAAACCCACTCGGATGGCT